AAAAAAGGGACCAATAACTAAAGAGGTTGAGGGCTTTGCAGATGACTAGAACACAAACGTGTACGTAACCCCCTCAAACACACAAACTCATTATAATTATTTATGAATAAAATTGAAATCTGAATCAAGAGCAAAATCTAAAGGCATGCACATACCAAAAATGAAATGATTAAGGCTTGTGTTTGGCAAAAACTCGTAGATGAGAAGCCTTTCATCTCCTTCCAAGCAGAAACCAAGCAGTCTGACCAAATTCCGATGTTGAAGTTTGGCTACTTAAAGGACCTCATTTTTGAATTCTAAGTCTCCTTGTCCAGAAGCACTGGATAACCTTTCCACGGCTACTTCTTGTCCTTTTGGAAGATTGCCCTGTATATAAAACAGAGCGGTACTAATTAAATTTAAGTTCAATGAATACCAAATTTCAAGCTAATAATTCAATACACCAAGATGTACTATAATTAATGTTCTTTTCTCCTCATTACATCATTACCTCGTAAACTGCGCGAAATACTCCTTGTCCAAGTTTATTTTCAACACAGAAGTTACTAGTTGCGGCCCGAATAGTGGCTAAGTCATATTGCGAAGACTCGGCCTTGATCATTTCATCTACTTCTGCATCTGCCAAAAGCAGTGCATGGAATGGGAGTAAGATTATAGGCATTCTCCAGCAGGAGGAATGCATTTTGAAAATACTAGTTTTGCTTACTTTCGACTATTTCCCTTGGCTTTCTAAGTCTTAAACAGATCCAAATACAGAGGACAAGTGACAGAATGCCGACGACAGAAGCAACGAGAACAATAATTAATATTCGAGTTGTGTTGCTCCCATTTCCGTTTCCATTTCCTGCACAACCCAAAAGTTTCCAATCACAGCTTGAATTATATATATAATCTAATTATCTACAAATACAATTACCCGAAAAGAAAAGAAGCGCACTTTACCTTCTGTTGGAGAAGGTAAAGACTGCGAGAGCAATGGGGACGACGGCCGTGGCTGAGGAATAACATCTACGGCTGCAAAAAATGGTATGGTCTCATATCTCAAATTACAGCTGGGTTGTAGAATTCTGCATCCGATTTTCCTAGAGGCGACCTGAGGGATCTTTAAGATTGCCGTCAATAGACAATCACCGCAACCCTTCTGCGATAGCTCGGGCGTGCACTGCTCAAGAGCGTAAATAGTAAATACCGACAGTGTTATCGGCCGCATATTTGAGAAGAGGCCCTCCGGCGGCCGCACGGCTGCTCAAGTTAGTCAAGAAGAGGCTCAACTCCCAAATGAACCCATCACCACCGACGTGTTGAAAGCATTATCCACAATCACGGAAGGGTATGACTCCATGGATCCGAAGAGTTGTTGACTTGAGTAGTGTAACGTACAGAATTCTGAACATCCGATCGCCTCTTTGTAATTGGGACATTGCTGCACGAGC